GGTGCCTTCGGAATTTAGCTCCCATGTGGTGGGAACACCGCGTGAGCAACGAGTGTGTTCGACGCCTTGTTTACGGCACAGGAAAAGGAACTGAACTGCTCAGCACCGTTATTTCACTTACCAGGCTCCGATGGTTCAGCCACGTGTTGTGCATGCCAGCCCACCGACTCCCGCGACGTGCGTTGTTTGCGCGTCGGGGGTTTGGTGGATGGAAGAAGAGGAGAGGTGGCCACGCGTTGACTTAGTCGAAAGGAATGAAGGTCCTCACTTATAAGCTGGCCTCAGTTGGAGCGTCTCGGCTCCCTGGTTGGGGTCCGAAAGACGATGAACCCGTTTGGCTGGATGCACTCGTTGATATGGGTGGGAGCCGACCTCAATGACGTTCGTGCTGTGAGTTTTTTTTGTCCCACCCCGTCCATCTTAGCCTCCCCCTCCAAGCACGATCTCATTATTTAGCATTTTATAATTTTACATTGTGATTTTTTTCTGCTGCATAGTAGCTGACAGGTAGCTTACCGGAACGATGACCATCCGTTACCGGTAGCCACACCTGGGATGTCAAACAACAGCCAATTATTCGAAATGCCGATGTCGAATAAAGTAAACCCATATGACGACGTAAATACTTGCTAAATGAGCATATGGAAAAAATGATGAAATGTGAATACGCGATAAGTACAAAATGCCCGGAAGTTACTTTAAAGAATACCACGCGATAAAAATAACACAAGTTTACCAACGTTTGCATGAGCGACGTGTGTAAGTTGGGAGAAGAGAAAAATGAAATGTAATGAATTTTATATAAGCACTACATGCCCATTATATATATATATATATATATATATATATATATATATATATATATATATATATACATATATACATAGATTGGCGTCATCTGTGTCCAGTGACAGTTCGAATACAACATATGCACATGCATTTATCCAAACTTAAGTGTGAGCAGCTGTCACAAACTGGAGAGACACATTAGACATCAGCATCAATGGTACGACAAACGTGTATGGGTTTCGTTTAAAGGTCAGGCTAACAACCACTTTCGCAGGCATGAGAATAACTACCCAATACGAACTGTTGATGTTTTCTTCAACATTTAGACGTGACAGCCTTAAATCTTGGGCATCCATATTTGAAGGGACCCGAGGTGGCAATAGTAAAGCAACTGCTAGGTAGAATGATGACTAGACTACTGGTACAGTGAAATAGTGTGCACTTAGGTGTTTCCCTCTACATGTACAGTAGGAATGAGCTCATGGATGGACTAAAACATTATTCTGCGATGCACCGGCTCTCTAAGCGTCATGCTAGTTAGCATTGAGCAGCTGGTCAAGCTACGGTTATGATGAGTATTAACATGGAGTTCACGTAGTGATGCGAATCGCGGCCGAATAATACTATGAAGAGGAAGATGCCGTAGCTCACTCGCTCGGTATTTAATCATACTAGACTCCGCTTGAGAAGGTAGCAAGTATAGGACAGCATAGGTCATGATGAGTACAATATCGTAATGCGCAACACATGTGAAGTCATTGCGAAATACAACCGAGTTAAATAAGCCTTAACATGTTAGGTTACGTGTGGCTCATCCGTTCTAGGCAGGTGCAATAAAGATACCTCATTGCACCAAGTCAGTAGTTACTCATTCTGGAATGCAACTGTACCCAAGCGAGACTTACATGCGGCATATAGAATAAGGATGACATCAAAAGAATGACGGAGATGGATGTAAGCAAGTACCCAAGTTAGCAGGGAAATGGTGCGATTATGTCCACTGCAAGCTATCCGTGTCGTAAGGTAAAACCAGAACCAGTTATACTCTTCTGTTGTCCGAGGTGAGCGAGAATCAACAGGGAGATAGAACCACCAGGCAGTCTGTCATGTGCTACTATTTATTTCCCCCTGGTCATTCGTTCGGACCGCTAGCATAGCTTGACCAATCCATCAGTGTCTAGAATACTACCTATGCCCATGCATTTCGATTCGGATGTCACAACGTATTGCTGCTGTTCCGGGAATCAACCTTGATGACTTGTCTGAATCTCAGGGCGTTTACCTGAAAGCGGCCGCAGTACAATGGGGTGTATAGAGACACTTGAGATGGGATACATTGACCTCATATGGCAACCCCTAATAAGTCACGGTGTCACACGAGAAGAAACGTAATAAGATCCGTCTGTCAAGTGGGCATGTATCGACACGAACAGATGTTAGCGCGATTTGTACTTTAGCCGAGTCCCATTTAGACATCGAGTCAGCAGATAATGGTGTTACGCGAGTGAAGATGCCATCAGTCAGTCAGGCTGAAGTGTGGTGCTTATAACTGTTTCTAAATGGCTTCCACTTAATCACAACGTGAGATACCAGTTGATATACCAAAGGTCCTTGGTTCGAGTTACAGTACGGCAATGTTGCAAACGGGCATTTGTTCACAATTGTGCATGGACTACCAAACACTGGATGAAGAAATACTGACCGTCATGAACCATAGCACAATGTACGTGCATGAGTTTGGATTGAATGAAAGGTGAACAGTCATATTGCTCTAGGTTTAGAAAATCGCACGTAGAATTATAAGTAACCAATACGACTGTCAGTGGTTAGTTAGCGTTTGGATGAGAATCGAAACGACAGCCTTAAGTTTAGTCAGAAGTGTGGGTATCAACAATAGATTGAGACAGATATGGAAATACGGAAGCAAATGCCGTGAGTATGGTTACCAGGTAGAATGATGCACAACTAAATGTACTAAATGCACATGTGGAAAAGTCCGCTGCTCCCTGTTCTATCATCGGCTTTTGAATGAGTGTGCAAACTGTTATAGCAAACTTACAAGAAGTACCTTGCACAACATTTAATTATCTAATGTCTCTGAAATGAGTATGTTGTGGGACACCTGGGCACGATGATATCTTCACAATGGGATTTGGAATGGAACCACTTAGACAAAGCTGAGAAAGCAATGAACCAGTAAATCTCCATACCCATGGTGTGATTGGCAGTGAAAACTGAGCACTGCATAGTTAATCATATGAGAGCAAACAAATAATGGGTATCAAGAACCTCGGCAAATGGCGCAGATAAGGTGGTTAACTGAACGTATGATATTCCCATGCGAACTGGATTTCTCATCATAATTTTACCACATACAATTTACTAACAAACTGTCAGCATACATCTGGGTTGCAGCTACTCTTCGCAACAAATCAATTGTTTCTGTGCTGAATTTATTTTCCAATTAAATATTTATTTAAACGCTACCGTAACACCATACTTGGACTAATCTACTTTTAAGTCAATCTAGATGATCGGTCATTTCTAATTTAAATTGTAGAAGGAACGTTTGCTCTTCCGCACCTTATCTCGATAATAGCTGACTTATCCTAACTTCAGTATGAGCGATGTTCAGCTGGAAATATAGCTACACTCATTATTGTGACTAATATATGAAACAGAACATGTAGCATCACATCGGCATGTTAATCGCTAGTCACTGACTTTCCGGGATTATTCAGCTTACACGGACAAGCCAACGTGTGGACACTTGCAACAAAAGTTGTTGGGTCTTGAACACCGAATTTCCAAACTGCATTCCAAAGCGAGGAAGGGTTGTAGAGTACATGAATTCCAAGGATAATTGTTGATCACTACACCCAATTGTTCAATCCAATGTAAGAACGAGTGTGGAATATTATGAGCAGCAACCGCTTGGTACCCAGGAGTTAACGGGACCCATGTACGCTAACGCCGTCACCATATATATATATATATATATATATATATATATATATATATATATATATATATATATATATATATATATATATATATATATATATATATATATATATATATATATCAAGCTCAATAGTTTGCAGTTATTCACCTTAGCAACTCATTATCGCTGTACTTCTCTGAATCCCATAACAGATCTCGTCATTTTTTGCTACCTTGCGCGTCCGACAAATTCGTGCATTTCCTTTGGGCGCCCTTGCCTTTGATACACTCGAATCTACGTCCGCATTTGTGCATAGGTCTAATGAACCCACATCGACCATGCTCATTCAATTGACTTGAATAGTCCGTCACCATCATTATCTTGGTTCATGGCGTCGGTTCAGTCCATAAAACAGGCGGGTATCGTGTCATCAGTGGCAGTACTGCTTTCCGCTCGTGCCATTAGACCAAGCGTCCTCGCTGTGTTATTCTACGAAATCTGATGCGGAATAGGACGCATAACTACATCTGTATTAGTCTTTGTTACTACACTGCTTGTGTACTGCGCCTCAGTTTCTTTCTCATTTTTATCTGGTTTGTAACCCCCACAGGCCACCGGTTTAAGCCTATGTAGGTGCTGGCAACCTCACAGTACCCTTAGTCCGCAAGCAACTGTTTGTGGATGCATTGCGCACTGCTGCCGCTTCTTCCCTCTTTGTTTATGGGTCTCTTCCTGAAGGTGCTTGCTGCCCCTTTCCAACTTTTGTTTTCGTCACCAGGTACCATTTGTGGCCACTCCGTTGGAGTGCGGCCCCCAGCAGATTGCCGCCGGCAGCTGCTGATCTTGGTTCAACCTGTTTACTTGTCGTATTTGATCTTTGCAGAAAATTCGAATCAAAGCCAATTTTTATGTGATCGTCGTTGCGGTTTTTCATCGCTACCGATGAGATCCCTAAATGAATTTTGTCATCTTATGTCACTCGTATAAATTAATTTCTGTACCTCCCTATCTCGCTTTTGCCTTTCCCGTAATACGTATACAAATCATGGCTTGTTCCCTGATTCGCACTCAGGTAGTATGCTTTCTCTTGGCACTTTCCTTATTTTCAAAGCCATCAACCGCAAATCTAGACTCTCTCTTCATTTACCTTATCCTACCCAATTTTACCTTATTTGGCTGTAGTATCCAAACCCGTTTTTTGCTACGATCAACAATTTTGAATAGTGGCGCTTATTTTTTGTTTAACCGCTTCGTCATCTTATTTTAGGAGCCCATCGGAAGTACGGATATTCATGTCATCCAAAGTGCCTCTGCATCATCCGCTTCGTCTGACGAGGTTGTTCGCCAACTTAAAGAGCAGTTAAAGTAATTTCTTGCCCACATATACTTGCTTATTCCTCGTGCATTTCTCACGACTATCTTTGCTAGCTTGGTTCTTCATATTCGTTGGTTCTGGATGTTGGCTATTCGTCTCCTCTGTTTTGTCTAGTGCTTACGGAATCCTTGTTTACATTTTCCTCCTAGACCCTAGCATGTCCTCTAATCAAACTTGCACATCGTCACGCAAATCAGCCCTTGATCATCCCCCTCTTGTTTTCTCCTCACAGACGATCGCAGGAATCGCAGAAAGAAATGTCCGTTCTATTAAATATGTACAAGGTGATTCCGAAAGATCAGCGGGATAAGGCTGCCTTGTTGCAGTGCGAGGCCAAGTTGCGTTCTGAACTGTCAGACGCTAAAGAAGAGATAGAGAAATTACGCTCCTGTTTGCTGGAGGCTCAGCAACAGAACGCACGTCTCGTTCAACAGCAACAACAGCTTTCGTTGCAACAGCAGAAGACCGTCGCTCGTGGCTCGCCCTATCCCAAAGTCTCCCCTATCGAACACACTCCGCCGTCCGCACATGTGAATACCACAGGCGTACCAACTAACATAGATCGATGTGCCGTAACAGCCGCATCACCTACTACCGGTTCTCAGAGAGGCAATCCTATGCTTTCCCCCGATGAAAAGTTATCCGCTTCTGGGTCAACCAGTCGCACTCCTCCGCATTCCCAAGTAGGCTCATATCCAACAAGCGTTCCAGGTAAGCTTGCTTGTGCGGCCATCTAAACTCTCCCATTTTTAACCAGTGATACAAGGTCTTTATAATGTATTTACTTTTCGACTAAAATAACTTGTTGGCAACCTTTAACGTCATCATCTTCAGGCACGCTAGCGTGATTGACGCATACCCTTGTTTTCTAACCCGACCCTCTAGGTTGGGGTGAGGATTTCTCCTTACTAGGCTGGCGCGTAACTTCCCACTCTTCGGCATGTACTTCGCAGCTGAAGAGTGCAACGTGTTAGCATATGTTTGATTTTGTATTCTCTTTTCGTTTATCTGACTAGTTGAGGTTGTTCTCACCTCCATTCAATATATAAAGTGATGGTGATAATCTGCGTACAATCCAATGATACCTGGTGTGTGAAAGTATATATATAAATATATATTTATTTATATATAGTATACTTTCGCCTTACTATTTGCAGAACTTCAGATGGAGCTCCAGCTCAGTCGTCGAAGACGTCAGACACTAGAAACTCAATTGGAACTGTGTCAGAATAGACTACTGGCCGCCCAACAGCAAGAAGAGGTGCTCTTAAAAGAGATGGAGGTATAACCGTTTTATCCTGGTTTGCGTTATTCAGATCGCCACTCGTTTGAGGTATGCTAAATCCTTTCCCGCATCGTAGTGCTCGAATCTCTGGCCAGTTGGTCTGATGAGTTGGTGTTTCTGTATCTGCAGGCGGTAATGCCGCAACGCTTGCGATTCTTGCATTCAATCATTTCGCGTTTATCTCCGGTGTAAATGCCTGAAACCTATTACCGCAGTTAAATCCTTTTTCTATGGGTTGCATTGGAACATTCTCAGTTTAATCAGTGTTCCACCGCTGGCTTTCCTTACTACTTGAGCTTCCGTTAGCTTCGATCTTTCCATTGTTCTCATCTGGCTACATCTTGTGTTGACGTATCACTGTCACTGTTGTCTGAAAGCGTTACCATATCCGATGAGTTACAAGTTACCCGACAGCCTGTTAACAGTTAGCCGACGCTTACTTCCTGACATTCAATCATTTTGGACTGGACGAGTTTAGTGACGTGTTCTCTCTCTTTGTATTGAAACGAAATAAGTCGAGGTATAGTAACTATCTATCACCAAATTTACACAAAAAATTTATCCAGTCTCCCGGTCGTCTACCGATATCATATTCTATCGCTTACACCCTCTGTTCAGGTTACCGGACAGGCCTTCGAAGATGTACAGGAACAAAATGTGCGCCTTGTACGAACTCTCAGAGAGAAAGATGACGCCAATTTGAAACTGATGACTGAAAGATTAAAGACTGCTCAGTTGGCCCGTTTGTTGAAAGAAGACAAACACTTGCTCGAAGAGCAAATACGACTAATGCAAGCGAAAATCGAAGCTCTCAATCGGGCTGTTATAAAGCAAGAGGATAAGGTGGGTTCGTTCTCTTCTTTGTATCTGTTCGACTGTCTTAAAGTCCGTGACGGAACCTCCTCTACCTTGTGTTCTTCCGAATTTCAGGCCATTTTGCGATGTGCTCTGTACCTTTTCATTTGTGGAGGTCTGGTTATTGCTGGCTCACAACACTACACTCCACGGCTTATTTCGGACTTGTTTCTACTTGTCAGGTTGATATCGTAGAACTACTCTCGACAGCTGGGACTAGGGACTGTCACCTAACGTTTCTGTCCTTATACCGTTTCTTCCCGTTTATTCGGCTACCAATGGCTGCCTGTTTTGATTTGGAGTCCCATTATGTCAGTCTTTTATATGGCTTGTCCACCATCCCTGATACAGGTAGCTAGCCTAGTTTTCTTTCCGCCACATTTGTCCATCAGCGTTACTCGCTTCGTTTCTGGCATTTTTATCTTAGTGCGCGCACAAACGCTAAGCTCGATTAACTGCCGCTGATCTGTCAACAAATCTTGCAATTCCCTCGCTTGGACATCTATCTTTTCTACCAGCTTTTAAGCACCATCAGTGCAATTTCACAGCGTGTATCAGTTTGGACAGCTCATTACGATGTCCTGATTGTAGCGGAAATTCACTTGACAATATCCCATCATGGGAAGACTATGCAGCAACTGATCCCAGTTGTTTTTGTTTAGGCTGTAGGGTCTTCCGGCTTTCGCATCTGACTCCAGTCTTACTCCTGGTGGCATCAACCGATTTCCCTGCCTGTCTCTACAAATCAGGCCCAGTATCCCGCCTATCCATTTGTTGTTTTTACATCATTCACGCAGCCGTGAACAACTCTTTTTTCTTAAACTAACACGCTGCTTATCAGCAACAGTTTTGTTATTTCTATTGGTTTACTCTTGCTGTTTTTACCTCACTCACTGCATCAATTTTATTGTTTCTTCCTTGATAGCGTTACGGTTCTATTTATTTTCTATCGAGTGCTTTTCTTCCAATCACCGAAGGATGTTATACGTGGGTGGGTTTTTTAAATGTTCCACTTCGCCTTACTGGCTTTTTGTTCCACCTTCAGGAGCGACTGCTGTTGACCAACCTAGATACGTTGGAAAAAGAGGCGAATGCTAGGCAGCAGGCACAGGAAGCCTACAAGCGCAAGGCGATAGAGAATCAACAGGTGTCAGAGGATTTGCGAGTCACCGTGCAAAAGTATCAAAGCCAACTCAAGGAGGCTCAAGTATCTGTACAAGAGAAGGCCTCCGCTTTCGAACGAATCTCCTTTCGCCATCAGCGCCTGCAGGTGAGTGTATTGTTCTTGTTTAGCTTCCTTTCTAAATTGCGGTTTCTAATTGAAGAAGTGGTATTGAAAGATAAAACGACTGTCCAATGCGTTTCTGGATGTGCGGTGCATATCTGGCTGTGGCTGTGACATCTCATTTATAAATTTCAGTGACAGCCAATTTTTGTCTGTTCTTTGTCATCTGGTTGCATATAGCACAGACAAAATGACCAAAGCGAGCCATTTAATCTTGATTATTTCTGTCTCGTGGCTGTTGTGCGATGGTATTACTGACGCATTATCTGGTGTTGTACTGTCAGCCATACGCTTGATGTCAGTACCATCAGTCAGACTTCGGTGATTGTTTCATTTGGTGCATCACCGGCTCTTCGTGTGTCCTAACGTGCTTGCTGGATGAGAAAGCCGAACATTTTACTGGTGCACACTAGCCATGGTCTTTTATCCACCGTTTCCTATATGATCCCCTCAGATCTCCCAGGCTAAGTACTCAAAGATAGTATTCGTCGGATACTGCGACCCGTTTGGTGGTTTCATCGAGCCAAATTGGCACGTCACACCGGAAGTACATGTGTGTACTCGTCTGTTCTACACTGGCACCACCCCGATACACTCAAGCTCTGTGTTTTCCAGTGGCGCGAGCGATGCTCGCCTTACGCCATTGCAACCATTACTCTTTCAACGGCCGCCCATCATAATAAGAGAGCTTTATTTCATTCACAGTCACATTATATGCCACGTTTTGGGTAGAATGATCCGCAGTTTTGTTTTTCTGCCCTCGCATTTTCCACTCTTCATCGCACACACTTGCTTCCGTTTACTTCGATTGCACACCTCACTGTCTATTACTTGATTTGTTCTCGCTTGCTTTGCAATACTTCGCAACCATTGTTCATTGTCTGCTCTGTCCATCTCTCTGACTCTTCATCTTTCAGGAGGAACTCATTCTCTTGCGACGTAAGTACGATCGTCTAAAGAAGATCGAGCAGTCTCACAACGCAGACGAAGTTCTCTTAGCCGAACTTCAAGACTACAAAGTAAGTTTTTCCCTTGGCCAATCAGGCTTTGCTACCTTTAACCGGCTCATTTTTGTTCAACTGACATCTTAGCCTATTTTTGTTTACTGTCACTAGTCATCATTCTTAAGCAGTCAATTTCAAACTGGGAATTGTCTTCTTATCTGCTCGTCCTTGGGCACTAGGCTTAATTAGGCACTGTTCTTAACATGAATAACCTTTCAGGCTTCGTTAACCATTGTTACTTCACTGGCTCCAGTGTCCCAATAGTCCATTTGCTCTTCATGTTCCTACTTTCGTACGACATTTGCGAATATTCACTACCGCTGACTGAGTGTTGCTTTGAGTTGAACTCGAGCTTGGTCCAACTCACGCCCCCGTATCCGTTCGCTTCAGTTTATTATCCTCTGGATCCGGGTCTCTATTTTTTACCGTTATCGCTTGCTTCGCACTCGAGTTTCTTAACTGCACGTCTAGCCTCGTCTCCACGTTATCCGAATAAGCTGCTTTGATTGCAGTAGCGAAAAGGTTGTACCTATAGTTAGTGATAGTTTAATGACAACTACTCCTTAAACCCTTACTACCCTCTACACCTGTGCACTCATACATCACAGCTGGGTATTGCTTACCTTTTATTTTCCTTGTTTATTTTTCAGGAGCAACTCACCTGTCCGACATGCAAGACTAATAAAAAGGATGCTATTCTATCTAAGTGCTTCCACGTGTTCTGTCTCAATTGCCTGAAGACACGCTACGAGACTAGGAATCGCAAATGTCCGAAATGCAATGCCACTTTTGGGGCCAACGATTATCATCGCATCTACCTTACTTGATCTCCAGATGATACTACGTTGGCGACTTGTTCACCCGATGTACATACCTTAAGCTTATCTCATCCCATCTTTCTTCAAACTCTCGTGTTTTGTTCATATGTACATATTTCAGCCTATTAATCTTAACTAATTCTATACACCGTCTTCTGTCTATCGCATCTTCGGTTGTTTCAACTCACCTCAGTAGTGTTGATTATTCACCTTTTGTGGTACATGTGGTACGATTGCACAAAATCACTGCTTCAGCACTGAGCCGTACTTTCACGCTACATTGGTGCTGTAAGTCAGAGCGCCATATATAGCTGCACTTTCTAGGTGTTACCTAACCTCGCTGTGCGAGTCCAATAACGAGGGAACCAATTTTGACCGTATGTCGGGCAACGTCATACTATGCCATCCTATTCATTTGTTGTCCCTGGCTCCCTCTCAATTGTTGTAACATGCGAGGGCTTTGCAAGATTGCGGAGGGTGGGTCACCATCACTAGTTGACCATCTGGTACTTGCAAGCTTCATTCCACAAAACTGTTCAGGTTAGTCTGACGTGACCACCATCCAAGTATGTTTGGTTGCTCTAGTTTCCTCAATTCACTTCATCGCAACAATTGACGACCTACAACGACAGATGGAAATGCAAGATGGCCGTTGAATCCAAGAATACGGTTTGCCTTTCCAATCATTTGCGCACGACCAACCTCGCTGTCTTTATCTATGAAATCCAAACCACGCCACTATCCGCTATTCTTCATCCCATTGTCGTATGGCCACTTTGGAACTCACCTAAATGAGTGTAACCTCAGTAGAGTTCACTTCGGGATGAGTGGATTGTACTTGACGTTCTTGCCGTGACCTCATGCAGTATCTCATACCGTGGACTTAGAGTTCACTTCTTGTTTTTTACAGTTATGTTCATCGAATTGACCCAGCATACACTGTGACGTTGCAAGGTAAGTATTCTCCAACTCAGTCCCATCATTTTTCAATTGCTTGGTCCACGGGCTACCTGTCACCTTAGTCAGGAAGCATGTCTGACCATTGCGCTTTTTTCTGTGTTCTCCTAGTACACGTTCACCGCTGCGAGCTTTTATTATGTACCTTCTGCAATGTGGGTTACCTTGTTTTATTAATACTATTAAAATTTCATTTATCTGATTACATAGATACAGATTACTGCAAATTCTCATCAGCGCATTACTTACGGACTAAAGTTGTTAATGTCGCACGGGACATTGTATTAACCAAACGCCAAATCGCATGATACGGGCAAGACAGCCGGAAGTTTCGGGTAAGGTGAGAGCAGTGGCGTAGCAACTGCTTTTGTTATCCGGGCGGTCGTAACATCTCCGCCACCTCTGGCAGTTATGAATCCGTAAACCCTCACAATCAACAACAGTCCTTTGAAATTTCGTCGCATATAGTGATAACAAAGCATCTAGTTTCAGAGTGCTGTTGCCAGTGCAGACATTCGTATTTCTACAATACTCACGTACAAAATTTTTAAACACTTTATACTTTACTTGCAGCAACACAATCGATCACACTATCAAAATCAATCCATCAGCATGCTCCCTCTGGAACAATCTGCCAAGTCATTCCGCCTTGTCTGCTTCCTTGCTCATGGTAACTGGCACGTCATGCTAACGAAATCCAATCAGTACCACGAGCACGAAGTATCTACGTTTACACAGGTCGAATGAACAAGAGGGAATTTTATTGCAGCGTTGTGAGTCATGCACGATCTTGGTCCAAGTCAAAGGCAGCGAACTTTCCGCATGTGACTGATTCGGAGCGGGTGGCACATCGCCCCATGGCAATTGCTAGGCCCACCGAGCGAAACGGACAGAGCCAATCAGCGCCGCGGGCACAACCAGCTGCTCACATTTGCAAGGAGGGAAAGAACAGATAAGAACGGTCCAAACAGCAGCGAACGGACGATGAACGCCAGCCACAGAACTCAAGCAGATGACCGGAAGGAATCAACCATTTAGAGTGCATTTCAGTGAATAGTGATGTATAGTATAAAATAACAATGTGTTCTTTAATAACAGAATCGGCTCGTTTGTATTTTCGGAGGGCTACTTCGACAGCGAGTATCTCCTTATTAGCTTGAATTTTAATGAAGTTGCGCACCAAAATCACAATATTCGGTGCAGATTCCCCAAATTGATATTTCTGTATGTAGCTCAGAAGTTCTAAGAGATCATTGATTTTGTCGTTTCCTTAAACCTTCACAAAATCGGCTACCTTTCGGAAAAGGAAAGCATATTTGTTTGCTGGTTCATGAATGTTATGAAATCTACAACATACTTCATCATTCAACCTGCCCACGACGGACAGCATCAAATCCCATCGAAGTATCAAACAACTCTTCACCATCCATTCGTTTGATTAGTCGATTCAGCACTCCATACTTTCCCCCAATTCAGAGCAGTTTTGGATTCATCCACTGCACTGTCCACCATTTTCTTCCCATTTTGATGAAGACAAACTCTTAACGCTGTGAGCTTTACAAAACCTTACTGCAGATCCAGCCCTTTTGTTTGAAGGTATTTCTGTGCGCCACTGATTATTGGGCGAAAAGATCTCCAAAGATTCAGAGTGGAAATGAAAGGAAACGACAGTACCGAGGTAAAAATTAAAGAGGGATCTGATCTTTTTGTTACCTATTTCCCTCTTGTGACCTGTTCTGGAGCAGCAACCATTTCCGACAACATTTAAGGGGTCTGCTCGATTACTGCATCTAGTTTCCACAACACACTTGATACTTAGACCGATCACTCAGATCAAGACGTTCCAATGATATGTAGAAAAAAAGGAAGAATAACCGGTCCATTATACCAAAGTGTAAAATAGTGGATCGCCGCAAAAGTTGCATGTATACAAGCCATATTCATGGAACAGTTTGTACATAGCACAAATGTTGCTTTGAGTTGACTTCGCAGATGCATTCCTATCCGTCATAACAGTAACATTGTCAACTACCTGGGCATGGCAGTCATCAATTTGAATTCCATCCTTCTCCAGTACTTTCAAAAATCAGTCCAGAAAATTCTCTCTGCGCTTTTACAGTTGGTTTCGGCGAAACGGACAAACGAATCCTCAACCTTCACTTCATTTTCATCTATTTTCACGTCTCGCAACACCTCACTCATCAGAGTTTTATGAGACACGTTGTGGGTGCTATCGAAATTAGGAAGAAGTACTTTCTTTCCCTAGCGTGATCCATAATTTTGTTCCTCACTTACATTGCTAAAACGCCCCAAATGCATTTTGAACTTCTGTACACAACTGGGGAGGCAATGTTATCTGCTTTCGGGTCATAATATGCCAGCATTCGATCTTGTGCAAGCGCCTTCTTAATGAGTCTAGAAGCTTCCTCACATTGGGACAACCAAGACCAAGGACGATTGTTGCCAACAACTCATTCATTGGCCTCCGAAGTTGATGCATGTCATGACTAAATGCACTGGAGCAAGTAGTTCCTCAATCGCCAGCGTTTTTTTAATGTCAAGTCTGCGTCCATCACGACTGACACTGAATCGAAGGTATTTCGATTGACGCATAAACAAATGACATCAGGTCTCGGGGTCAAACTGTTGACATTCGAATATCTGGAAGAAGTGGCAGCTGTGCTGGGTTCTGTCTACTGATGTTGAAAAGGGTCCAGAGCAGCCTTTATTCCTAACGGTAACCGATTGTACTGTTACGGTCCGCGGTGAACTGATTGTACGAAGACGCCGTGCGTCATTTTTGAAAATATTTGGCTGCTTATGAGTTTGCTGAAAGGATACTCCGGTAGTGGTAGCAGGTATTGATGAAGATTCAGTGCTGGTTTCGGACCGGTTGAAAAATCTGCATAATGATCCCGTTTACTTTTTTCGTTATCACTGTGGACACTGTCCAGTCTGAGTATTCCACTCTGAGTATCATCCCTTATTGGTCCAAGCAGCCCACTCCATCGTCAACCAACTTCAGCATACGGCACCGGCTTTTTGGGTCGGAAAACAGGCCTTACATCATCCTTAAGATAAGGATACCGTGAATTTGGTGGAACGGAGAAATATGAGGTTGGACAATTCTGGAGATTGCTTCTGGGTATCGTCAACGATCGCAGTGTTCTGCGCTGAGTTGCACTGTGATGACGTGTCCGAACCTGGTAAACTTTTCTAAATTGCATCGCACACCGATTCGAAAGGGACACTGCGCAAGTTCAACGCTATGGTCCAATCGATACAAAGTATGTTTAATCCCGTGTTGTCAGAAACATGACAGACACCATTTCTCTTGTGGTTTTTGTCAACATATTCACAGGAATATTTCCTTATGGCCGCACTCCTTGTGGTATTTTCCGCATTGCGTAGTATTGGTCTACCGATAGCCGACCGTTTCGGACTGGAAATGATAGTAATGTCAGATGCGGTACCCAGCCATGGGCGCATTCATGGTAACGGTGATGAACTTAGGAAGTGAAAAATTCTTTCTTGTGCAGGTGTATGAACCACTTTAGACTCCTATTGGATTCTGCGTTGCTGAGACGGTTTTGATCGGCCCTCACGATAAGGATGTCGTGTGATCGACCAGTAATATGTTTATCGTGGCAGCCGGTGCACCGGACAGTTTCTGGCAAAATATCACTCACCGCAATTCCAACAAATCTGGGTCTTTCTGTCGTACACTGTTATGGAATTCTATGGGTATTCGGGCAGAAATTGTATCAACCCTCGCAATCTGATTTCAGTTCTCTCGACTTTGTGAGTCACTTTTTAAGTTAACCAGACGCTGACATTCTGCACCAACGTCCTGAATGGTGAGTCCTAGAGATGAGCCCAGGTCGTATAACAGACTTCTTCTGATTACTGCGTCAGCTTCAGTAGTCAAGGCAACTACAGAAATGAATGACTTTAGCTGATCGTCTGTAAGCAACTTGAGCTTGAGTCATTCACATGATTGGTTCACTTCACCTCGAATTGATTTTTAACTTGCTTCAAACACAACGAATGTCTAAAATGGATAACTTTTCACCAAAAATGGAAATGACATCGACAGTCCCCTGAAAATTGCAGTCGCGGGCATGTTTCGGTAGAATACAATTATGCTACTGGTTGCATTCATTTGCGCCCGTGGCAACAACCGTATTTTAGCCGCATCATCAGGTGTGATCGAGTCAACCAGAATTATGTCTTCATATCACCTGTACCCGATTGCGAGTGTGGTACCGTTCTCTGCGTCATATTGGAAATCCTGTCATGTAAG